AGAAGAGAGGAGAAGAGAGGGGAGGCGAGGAGGGAGAAAAGATGATTTTCACCAAAATTTTTTTGTGGTATCGTTTTTATATATGTCTATTTTAAAACCCAGCAAATAAAAATCCCAACAATTTGTCAAGCTTTTTTTTTTTTTTTTTTTTTTTCTTCCTATCAAAAAGAATTATTAACAACTTGCGTAAAAAGAGAAAAAGGAATCTCATTGGATGACAGCACAACACAATAATTTATTACTACTGTATATTGAATCATCAATTAAAAAAAAAAAAAAAAAAAAATTGATAATAATTCTAGATACTGTATGTGTTTAAAATTAAAAGGTCATTGATTGAATATTGCAATCGCTTTGATGAGATTTATTATGCACTTTTTGTTGGACATTTATTGGTCTGCTTTATACAGTAAGTAAACACAAACAGTATGATTAATTAATAACAAACAAGATCCTTTCGACTGGAACGCAATTTCCAGAGGGACAACGCATTGCACCTACCGTTTTGAAATTCCGTAAATCGTAACCGGACCATTCTCGCTCGTCATCCTAGCTCGCACCACCTTCACCACCGGACGACGTTCGTTCGTTCTTGACGAGCTTAAATTCGTTAAGGGGATCTTTGTGAGCGATTCTCAGAAATTTCGTATGCCTGCCTTGAGCAATCAATCTATTGTCTTTCTTATTGTATAGATCCACTGTCGTGAAAGCCAAAGTTTTGCCAATCTTTAAACACTCTGATTTCTGAAATGGAGTGAGCACGACATTAGGATTCATTCATCCCCCAAGGCCTTCAAATCTCAAACCGGATACCAAATGCACAAAGATACACACCATTAGTAAAATATCGTCGGCCTTAGCCACGTCGACATAAGAAACACTTATGTCGGTGGTGAGTCCGGTGGAATGCATCCCTTTGGCGGCTATGGCTAACGAACCGCCGACGTCAACTAAAGTAGCAATCATTCCCCCGTGTATTGAATTCAGACGATTCTTGGTAATTGGTATGATTGAATGAAAAGGTGATGGTCAGAACAAAAATCTTCCCAAGTCGAAGAATCGAGTGCGTGTTCTTTTTTATTGTATATACTGTAATACCAAATGTTGAGGTTCAACGGGCATCTCGGCGTCAACTTTTCCGTCGGTGGCATTCGTAACTTCCAACTATCAATTTTAAAATGGAATCACGTTAACCGCAAGCAAAATCGAATAAAAAAATTTTTTTCGAGAGCAAAGGAACCATTGCCGCAAAATCCATTCACCTTACATGTTTCATGAGCACCGAATCAAATCCTGTCCCTGATTCAAGGAATTTTTTCCACACGTTACGAACCCAAAGCGTTCTTGAACCCGCCGACGCCATAAAGCCGACCAGATGTGGTTACGATTGTTTACTTTTTATCTTCTGCTCTATATAAAGGTCTTTGCTGATGAATAATGAACACTTTTCTGCGTTGTAATTGGTGTGATGAATGTGTCAAAAGAAGCAATGCTTGTCTAACAGACATGTGGTAAGGAAAAACCGAGCATATGTACAGTCGCCACGGTAAGTAACGCCGATTTGTTGTGTAACAAGATGAGCATGTATGAAATGACGTTTCTTATTAAAAAATACCGCATACACACAATTGAATTCTTATTTGAAACATGAACGCCATGCAAGCCGCAAGAAAGAATGTTGGTTAACAAAAAAAAAAAATACACATATGTATTTATCTATTTATTTACAGCATATGATGCATAATAGAAAAATTTTTTTCCTTTTTTTTTTTTTTTTTTTTTTTTTGCTTTTAAGAAAAGATTAGGCGTCACTTTCTACGGCGATTGTGTGCACATAAGATTGAGGTCGCTTGTCCAGGTAAAGTGCAATAGGGCCAAGGTGATGATCAACGTGAAAGGGGAGTTCGAAACAATGATAGATCAAAGGATAGAGTATAGATGGGAAGGTGTGGCAAGGATTTGTTTGTTTTTCCAAAGAAAGGGGACATGAACCAAAAAAAAAATGAATAAATGAATCAGGAAAGTGCATGATATCCTCTGTTTATTAACTTGTTCCGGAATCGAAAAAAAAAAAAGGGTTATTTTTTTCCCATAGCTGATGATAGATAGCTAGCTAGCTTTTCTTATACGTGATTGACGTAATGCAAAATCCCCGCGTCAAGTGATTCGGGTGAAAGAACTTCAATGTCTTAATAGGAAAAGCTTCCAATTTGTAGTTCCGAATTTACAATCCAAATTCAGAAAAATTTCGTGCATAGGGGATTCGGAGACGGAATACTTACTACTTCATTAAAACAATACCCAAATGTGAATGAGAGCACACACTCCATTGTAATTTGTAAGCACCTCTTTTTCTCTCTGGTCGGAAATTGAATTTCGACGCATTGACGATAAGATTATGGGAATTCATTTTAACCGTTAGGGAAACTAGTGTATGTATGTACCACACAATTAACGAAACCATTTTCTTTTTAATCACTGTGCTCACGTCACGTGTGTAGGTGTGAATGTGTGCGTGCGTCCGGTATCAGTCATACAGTACATACTACCGCTTACATAGACACCAAGATTGCGAATTAAATGAGATAAAGGAAAATTTATCACGACGAGAGATCCGTGGTAACATGATATGACCAATAATTAGGGCGTGTCCCTCCTGTGAGAGGAGCGAGCGCTACTACATTAGCGTGAAATTCTGTTTATACTTTGTTGTAACTGAAAACCTCGATAACGGGCAGACAAAGGTAAATTTAATTTGTATTATTGCCCACACCAATCATGACATGTTTCCACATGATTGGTCTGAAGTTTGGATATTAGGTGGAGAGGGTATTATTGTGGTCATAATAGTAAAAGTTTCCAAACAGGCATGTGTATAATGAAAATAAATGGTAAGCGCATTTCGACAGCGTTTTTCTCTTAGTGGAGAGGATTTTAGCATGAGATCCATATAAAATTCTCCTAATCTCTTTTTTTTTTATTTATTTTCACATATTGTCTTCCGACAATCATGTGCTTCGGCAAGTGCAACGCGACACGAAGGAAGACTATTGCACGTACTGTGCGTACGCACACGTACACGCATGTGGGAAATGTCGGTTGTATGCTAATGGTCGCAATAATTGTAATAATTGCGATGATTGCGTGGGTGGTGCTAATATAATAAGTTATTGCATTGGTGGTTAATTATTAATGACTGATTGATGTACATATAGTACATGCCAGAGAATCTAAACTCCCTGGATGTATAAAGTTCTTACCAGTCAAATGAAAATAAAAACATAAAGATCATGGACCACTGATTGGACCCGCGAGCGTTACACCCACTTAAGAGAAAAAATTTTTTCGCTGTCATCGGTTGTTTACGTTTTGGCACACAGTGCAAGTTTAACACTTGTTGATTTACCAAGTCACAATAACTTAAGTTAGGTCGATTTCGGGATAATTGAGTGTTTTGGAAAACATCGATCATCAAACGCTTCATATCACACACAATACGATTGCTAAATGGATACACCAAAACTAGTCATTACAATGAATAACCAACAATGTCAACTTTTTTGTCGTAATTTTTGTGACCCTTGCGCCAATGGTGAGGTTCGTATTCTCGATTTCTTTCTCGTTCATGTACGATAAATGAGTCGAGTTGATCGAGGAGTTCACGGTGACAGGGGTGCCTCGCTCGTCGTACACACACTCATTTGGATGAAATTCCCTTAATCGGCATGTCGGCATGCGTTCTTTTTTCTTTTTGCATTTTCGCATCCAATCTTCTCAACCGATAGAGGCATTGCACGATGACATTTTTGGCTAATACGCAGATTGGCATAATGATTTTTAATGATTTTGCTAGACAATCGAGTATAATTTATGAATTGTCACCCGCTTCAAAACGACAAATCTTTCTTCCTTTGCATCACGGGAGTTAGTTACCCTCACATTTTTAATAAATCCTTCTCCATATAAAGTCAATTATTATCCCTGATCTACCAATCCGTCATCTGACACACTTTATGTTGCATATATGCACGAAAGACCCGTCGCACAGAGACATTAGCTTACATACCGATAGCCTTTGCAGAGAAAGCATGAAATGACAAATGACCCTTTCATTCTCCTAAAAGACTTTCCTAACTCGATCGTGGAAAATACAGTACGTAAGCAACTCCATTCTATTATATTATTATTATTATTATTATTATTATTATTATTATTATTATTATTACCTCCTTCCGTTCGACGTTCGCCGTTGATGGCGTGGAGGTTGTTTCGATCTTTGAGATTCCAATTTAATAGAACCATTGTTTATCGTGGATGCAAGGATGTGCGGTGGCTAGGCGAATGCGCCTGATTGTTAAATTTATTTCCTGGGCATACGATAATAATAATTTATGTGCGTAATCTTGTTAACCCCATAGGGCGCGTGCCATGTTGTCATTCTCACCTTTCTCCGGAAATCTTCTTTTAAAATCTTGTGCTTACATACGTACGCACGCAGCGAACGAATATGTACTAAATGCTAGCAACCTGGTCAAAGTAGTACCGATACTACAAGGTTTCCAAAAAAGGGTTCCATCCTATGCGGCCTCATTCCCTCTTAAATAAAGGATCATTGGACGTTTCACAATATTCATCGTGCGTCTACTGTGCATAGTTCTTTTTTTTTTCTTTTTTTTTTTTTTAGAATAAAAAAAAAAAAACGCAATCGAGCATTTAGTTGCATATTTGTATATTCTGGCGGGATTTTATTGTCCAGGATTTCTGGTTTTCCACGAATCACATCCTCCCCCCAATCGTTAATGGAACTGTTTTAGTCGGATGACCGTTAATGAAAGCGCATCATTAATTGATTGTTATTATCGCCTTAATTTATATTAATAAATTAAAAAGTGTGACCGGAAATTTCCGAATCAGCACATTTAGAGGGCGACTGTTTCATTTGCTTGTTTATATACGTAAATGCGCAATATTGTAAACTCCCCCGACCAATATGATGACCAACACATAAATATGTATATATATATATATATATAGGATACTCTATAATACGTAACTGTAACATAATATTGAAGAAAAATAGTTAGGATTATCAGTTTTGTGTAGCATGCAAAAAAAAAAAAAAAGGCGGTGTTTACTCGAATTTTAAGTTGCCAGTAACCAATCCTTGCCCGATTCTGTAATTTTTCTCTTGTTCATTGCCTTTTCTTGCTTTTTTTTTTTTTTTCTTAACACAACTCATCTTTCTCCTCCTCTTTTTCACTTTCATTTTCGCCACCGCAGTTTTTTGAGTTATCGAAAGTAAAAAAAAAAAAATTGCAGCGGGCTGCCGTAACCGAGAAAGACTCTGACATTTTTTTTTTTTGAACAAACCATTTCGCTTTCAAAGAGTCACCACTCTTCTCTTTTCTCTAGTGGTCGAAAGATTCTTGTGACTCATAGACCACGTAGAAATTGCTTCCAACATCGAACGTGGTTCCTCCTAACACCAAACCCACCATTGTCAAGTCTTCTTTTCTTTTTTTTTTTTTTTCACGAGTGACAAAGAGAAAATAAAACTTTAACCTGAGGATTGAAGGAAGATAATCTCGAAAGAACTTTACTTTCCCGGATATTCAACACTAATTGTTACGATTTCCCGAACTACTTACTAATTGTTTGACGAACGGCTTAAGACCTTTGAAGATAAAAAAACTCCGACCTTCAAAGGATATCATATAACCGGGGTGTCCTTGTTACCTTTCATGTTCTCATGAATAAAGAAATGTCGAAACGACAACAGGTGGGAAGACAACAGGTCGCCCCCGCTGCATACGAGATTCGTTTCAGCACGACCGACTCGGTTGGTATCAATTTCTCCCCTTGTCCTTTTTTAAGATAACGTTGTACTCTGAGATTTTCATTCGCATTTTAACGGTCAATTTGTCATACATGTTCAAAGCAGGGGGTAGAATTGTTCGAAATTCCGCCGCCCAACCAAGAAAGAAGTGTACCGGATCCGTTTAAAAAGCGTGACAAGATACCGCGAAATTCGGGTAGCGGATTGACATTGGAAGGTTTCGCGCAAAATGCTAGTACACCGACATCGCCTACTAACAAACAGAACAATGTTTCCCTGAAAAATAAGTTATCACCAAAGGATTTGAATAACTCCCCATCCAATGGGCTTGATGTCCCCATAAGATCAATGGAAAGGCAAGAACGCAAAGGCATATTTGCTGACAGGATGGAGGTTGACGAAACAATTGTGAACCTAAGTTCAGCGGAGAAGCGGAACAGGATGGATGACGAACCTGCCGCGAAACATGTTCAGAATAACAAGAAGCGTCCGTTGCCCGCGGAGGAAAACGGTAGTGATAAGGAGAATGGCTACTCGACCAAAGATACTTCCACCCAAAATTTGACTCACAGTGTAAATAAGGACTCGTACGTCACGGCCGAAACGGTCGTGCCTAGCAATAAGGAAAATATGATTAAAAATAACAATAAGAACCGAAAGACAATCATGTCGACAGAAATTAAGGATAATGATGTTCGCACTGCGAGTCGACCCATGGATGGATTTGCAACACCACCCGCCACTCCACCAAGTAGTCGGCCAATGACACCGCAGGGTCCACAATCGAGTTTAGTCGATGTCCCGCAGGCAACGTCAAAGACAAGGGAAATTCCGCCCCTCCCAAGCCCTCCGTCATCGGCCGGATCTCTGATAGCCTATGACTCCACACAACCATCAATGGCATCACCGTCAAGAATCCCTCGATTATCACCGTCAAGGCCGATCCTCACAGCATATATGATGGAGTTCCAGGAAGAGCAGGAGCAAGAAGAGGGGCAGGTGCAACAAGAGCAAGACGAGGGGCAGGTGCAACAAGAGCAGCAACAAATAAAAGGTCATTCGCGAAGACGGCCCACCATATCTCATGATGAGATGATCATACCGACAATTGCAAAGAAGCTAAAGATGAATGGACAGTTACCTTATCATAATCATGACGCTCTGCTTGGCGTCAGTGACGAACAAGACCTCTCGTCGGAGAGTGATCAAACGGATGTCGCCAACCAAAGTGAGGATTCGCTTGACGTTGAACAGCAAAAATTGCCGGAAAGAGAAGCCTCCTCCATATCCAAAAAATCATCAAAGATATTAAACAGGGTACGTCAAGGGTCGGCTCATAGTCGAAAGGATAGCGAAAGGACAAATTCCTATATACAAGTTGAGGAAACCTTGGATTCTATTGAGCGTGTCCCCAAATCTGACGAGGATAAAAAGCGTAAGAGAAAGTCACGAAGAGAGGAATATGTCTTGGTAATTAGGGATGAAGATGAGGCCGATGAATTCGGAGAAATTGCCGAACCTCGCTACTCTACGGTAAGCTAGATCTTCGAATCTTTAAATTTTATTAAATTCAATTCGTAACCTCTTTTTTTTTTTTTTAGTCACTGACGCCATCGGAACCTTCAATGTCTACCACGACAACATTACTTCCTTCCGAACGAGACTCTGCTGAACATGAGCATGATGAAAATAAATCGGATGAGATCGATAGTGTATGTCAAAATTATTGAATTGCTACGTTTGTCTTTTTTTTTTTTTTTTGACTCTAATCATCCGTTTGTTGTCTCGCAGGCTCCGTCGTTAACGCAGTCAGCTCAACAGGAAACGAATACTCCCAACTCAACGACTCAAATGGCTGTACCCAACAAGGCCTCTCCTCCTTTAGCGCTAGAACTCGAGAGGACCTTTACCTCGGGTCCAAACGAAAGGAAACCTAAAAAACACAAGAAAATCAAAAATAAAAAGAGCAAAGAATCTGTGGTCGATGATGATGACGTCAAAAAGTCTATCTGTTGTTGTACAATATGCTAGCTTTATATTATTATTATTATTATTATTATTATTATTGGTTGAGAATTTCTTATCTTCATGTATAGTTTCATCTATTTCGACTAGACTTTTTTTTGGTTGGGTCGGTATTCACATCCCCCGCAAACGCGGTGGAAGCTCGGGGCCTTTTGTGGCTCTTTGTGGCTCCCCGCAGGTCGGGGGAAAAAAAGGATAAATATCTCTGGTGACTTTTGGCGTCGAAAAAATCCTTCAGAAGAACAATGAACAAATTTGTATCGTAGTGTATTATTTTCCTGCATTTCTCCTTGTATTATTTTCCCTGTTTATCCCTTGCGAATTTTTGGCATCCCTGCTAGAACATTTTTATCACACCCTTTATTTTCATTTTTTTTTCTGTTGGACATTCATATCATTGCTATCCCGTGTTTTCAATTTTATATTATTGACGTTCTGGTTCATGAGATTAAGAAAGCGAAAAAAAAAAAATCACTTCTGTAAACCACACTTCACTTGCATTTTTGAAAAGATTCACACATTCTTTCAAATACAAAAAAAAAAAAAAGAAAAAAAAAAAATAAAGTGATGAAAAAAAAAAAAAAGATCTAACGAAAAAAAAAAAGATTTTTTTTTTTTCAGAAGGGGGTTAAGCAAAAACTTAACGATCTTTCAATCGTGTAATGATAGGGACTCGGAATGTGATGTAAGTGCAGATTTGTATTGAATTTAGTGAATTATGTGTGTAAAGGAACTTCTCTGAAAGTGCGATTCCCTCTTATTCACCGTTTTCAAACCCAATTTCGATTTTGCAAAGCGGGGGAAACGGAGGGATATATCAACGTCACTTCTATCAATTCGATTTTTTTTTCTCTTGCTTCATGAGAAACAAAGCATAAGTTGATGGTTTTGATACATTTCCGTTGGCCCGGAATTCTCTTGAGTTCGGTATTCTGATCATTTATTACTGCATATCGTTAGCAATATAGATACATCCGTTTTTGGCACACACTCATTTGAATATACAGTATAATTCGTATAAAATTATTAATAACATATAATAAATAACTTATAGTGTGACTCGAAAAGTTAGGTTAGAAGAATACAAAAGTATTGTACATATTCATTCAAATAGTATGGTACATACTATAGCTAAATTATACATATTAATATTTTTGTATTATATTATACTGTATATAATGTGAGTCATAATAAGTCTTTAAAATTTAATTGCCAGTGATCACTAATCAAGAATGTATTACAAAAATTTGCTCATTAAAAAATAAACTTATAAATTTTTAATTCCTCAATTCTTCTCTTGTATTGTTGATTGAAGTTAAAATGATTGTTATCATCTTTTATAATCAATATCAATTAATTTTATATTATTGAAACAAGGATATACATACCATAAGAAAAATATATACTTAAATGAAGAAATCTATCTTAACAATTTAATACAATCTTAATAAGTTACAAAAAATTGAAAAAATAATAGATTTGAAAAGGACTGATTATTTATAAACATATTTGAGTAAGGTATTACAAAAAATTCATGTTATATGAAAAATATATCTTTAATATTTATTAAAATTTTGATAATAAAATTAGATGAAACAATATTTCAATCAATTGTTATATAGATTTTAAGAATTTTTAATTATAATATTGATATTTCTAGAATAGTATCAATACTTACTAAAGTATAAAAAAAAAAATTGATGAAATAAATCAAGAAATATTTAAAAGATAATTGAAACAAAACTTTTTTTATAGATATGATTATATTTTAGATTTTTTATTATATTGTTAGATGATTATATAAGAAAAAAAATTGATTTACTAGATTCTTAAAATTAAACTTGTATAAAGAATTTTATTAAATAAATAAAATCAATATATTTTGTTTTGAATATAGAATTTTATATTAATATATTAAAAAAAAAATTGATAAAAATTAAAAATTTATTGATAAAGAGAGAATATAATTTTAATAAAACAATAACTTTAACCATATAAACTATTATAAAATTTTATTTTAAATTACATATTATTAAAGTTTTCAAATAATTAATTAATAGATTTGATTTAAATTTGATTAGAAACTTATAAAATATATATTAGATGAAAAAATTTATTTGATATATTATCACTTATATTTAATAAAAAATAAACAATTTACCAAATTAAGATATAAATAAATTGATAATTACTATATATAATTTAATTACATATATTATAAAAATCAATATATTCATAAATCATTAACAATTCATCAAGCAATTTAATAATAATTTATCAAATAATTCATTAACCATTTAATAAAAATTTATTAAAAATTCATCAAAAAATTTTTTATCAATTCATTAATAATTTGTTAAAAATTTATTAATAGTTTATTAATAATTCATCAAAAAATTTATTAATAATTTATCAAATAATTCATTAACTATTGTAACAGGCTGATCAGTAAGTCTGTTGCTAATAACCAAAAGCTCATATAACCTATAGATATAAGAGACTGTCCTTTTATTATATATATATACAAAAATAAGGCAGAGATGTAAAAAGATTTGAGCAAGTCTCAAGATAGTTTTTCCTAAAACTACTTATAACTTCATAGTTATAACAATCTATTCAAAAGATTTGTCTTAAGATTCATCATTTTATTAAGTTATTTAAAGAAGTTACATTTATATATTTTATACGTAGGCTATTACATAATTACCATAGCTATTCTAGTATTATGTCATGCATAAATTACTTCGTAATCAGCTAATTTTCTATTACCTCAGCTCATAGTTTCTTATCTTTTTGACATGAACGGATTGTTTATGTATTCTTCTATCTTGTAAGGAATATAGTGATAGTCAGTAATTAATTGTTTTGCATAAGCTTCGGTCATGTTGCAATCATTGATCATGTGACAATGGCAAAAATTCTGAACTTGGTCTGACTTCTTTGGTCTTTAACACTATTTAGAAAAAAAATTCATTAAAGTTATTAAAGTTTATTAAAATTTTTTTTAATAATTCATTAATAATTTGTCAAAAATTTATTAATAGTTTTTTAATAATTTATTAACAATTTATTAATTATTTATTAAATCTATTTATTAAAAATTTATTAATTATTTATTAAAACTATTAAAAATTTATTAATTATTTATTAAAACTATTAAAAATTTAATAGCTGTTTATCAAAACTATTTAAAAAAAATTCAGCAATAAAATAAAAAAATTGACAAATATATATATATATATATTTTAGTTATACAGATTGAGCTTTATTGATTTGGAATTTTTTGAGAAGTATAAATTAGATTATAAGAAGCTATATTTATAATTATTTTAACTATACTACTTTTTCTTATTCAATATAATATGATTTTACTTATTCTGAGTGAGTACCATCTTTATCAGTTACTCTGCTATATTCAGGTACCTAGTGTTCTAAGAAGCTACTAGGGACTATTATTTTTATTTTTAGAAATACTTTTTATGATATGTTTTATGAAATATAATTGGATCTTGACATAGAATATATTTAAATTTTTGTATAACATACTTGCTGTATGCAATTTCTTCAGATACTGTAATACTTTAATTTACATGTGGTCTAAGATAGAGCTCCTATTAATCCTTGGTGAGCTTAGTGACAATCTAGTTTTTCAAATGATCATTTTTAATCACTTTTCAAAGATAACTTATAGAGGTTTTTCTTGATTAATCAAAACCTTAGGTCTCTTCCAAACATATCCACCTAAATAGTTTCCATTGTAAAATTATGTTATCACAATTTCAAGCTAAATGAATCCCATTACTCTAATAATTTTAGTGATTAGTACAAATAATCAAAGTTTCTTAATATTTCCTATAAGTATAATAGTTTAAGAAGAGATAGATTCTATATCAGATTGATAGGATCTTGAAACAATTAATATTATTTTTGATATTCTTTCAATAGCTTCACATATTTTAGACAGTACAAGTGTCATAACTTCTTTTTGTCTGATACTAAAACTGACAAGAATCTGTTTGACCTGATTTATTATATTATGGTCAGACAGTGATATTTGATAGGTCTGGTGTATACAAAGATATATATAGTTGATATATATGTATTCTATACAATGTAACCTATATTGTAAATACTATTTATGAGTAGGATTGAATTGATAATTTATAGATAGTGACTTGGAAGTGCACCCACTGTACTATTGATCCATAGGACCAAACTTATATATAAATTTTTCTAAATTAAAGTTATAATTATAAATTATAAATAATATAAACTATAATATAATACTTAAATACAAATTAGGAAATCTATAGGTCAATAGCATAGTGAATGTACTCCCAGGTCACTATCTACAAATTATTAGTTCAATCCTACTTTAGAACAGTTTTTATAATATAGATTATATTATACAAGATATATACTTATCAGTAAAAATAAGTTCCTAAAGAAGAAGATAGAGATAAAAGTTAAATGTTTCTTATTAGAAAACATTAAAATTTTTAAATTAATAACTATAAAAAAACCATTCACATTTGTTATCTATTATTCAAATCATTAATTTATAGTATTTCCTGACCTTTGTTCTATTAAAGTGAAGAATTATGAATTTTGTTCCTTAAAAAGAAACATAAATAATCTATAAAATTTTATATGCTAAATATTTTAGGAATCATCATTACT